TGTTTTTAATCACAATAGAAAAATCATGGTAAGTTGTTATGAAAAAGTGTTATGGGATAAAACAATTAAATAAAATACTTGATGGAAATAGAATGCATTAATTATATTTGACTTTTTTTACTACTAATTTTAGTAAATAGGATAGCTTTTTATATATGTATAGATAAATTTTTTTCATACTTTTTTTTTCCTCTTTATATAGTTGATTTAATCAATCTGCATGTCAAGGATAACCTCAAAAGTTGATTAACTCAAATATTTCCAAAGTATTTTTTCTTTTCTATATTAATCCATATGATAATTTATTTTTTACGATATTTTTATGATTTGTTTCCTTTTCCAATATTTATCCTTAGTGGTTGTTCACTTCAATATGATTGATATCTTTAATAATAAAGTATAAATTTCTTCCCTCAATTTATGGCCAATCAAGTAAATATTTCAATAAATTTTATCCTTTTAAACTATATTAAATAATATTTTTTAAACCATCAAAATATATAAAATCAAATATTTATATTTATTTATTTCATATTGTTGGAATATCACTTGTGAGTGACTCTCTCTACCCGGCTTATTCAGAGCTTGGGCTTATCTTTCTACCGGGCCTGCTATGTGGGTTTGGGCTTACGAAGGACTCACAAGTGAAGGGGCGTATTAGAATATCACTTGTGAGTTGTCTCCACATTGGTTATATAGGGTAAACAACCCTAGTTTATATGCCTATAGTGCGCTACTCCTCCCATCACCAATTGGTTTTGGGATGGAACCTCACTAAGGTGCACCTAGGATCACCCTCTTATGGTTCGCTTCACTTGGTGGGACCGCACCATCTTCTCCCGATTCTAATATGGTATCAGAGTGGGCTATTCTAGGACCTGCAATGACTCTCTCTACCCGGCCTGCTCTGGGCTTGGGCTTATTATCTCTCTACCCGGCCTGCTCTGGGCTTGGGCTTATTATCTCTCTATCCGGTCTGCTCTGTGGGCTTGGGCTTACGAAGAACTCATAAGTGAGGGGCATGTTGGAATACCACTTGTGAGTTGTCTCACATTGATTCTATAGGAAAAATGAGCCTAGGGGAAGAGAGTGCGGTCCCACCAGGTGAAACACACCGTAAGAGGGTGAGTCTGGATGCACCTTAGTGAGGTTCTATCCCAAAACCAATTGGCGATGAGAGGAATAGTCCACTAGGATTATATACTAGACTCATTTTCCCTATAGAATCACTGTAGAACAACTCACAAGTGATATTCCAACAAGCCCCTCACTTGTGAGTCCTTCGTAAGCCCAAGCTACAGAGCAGGCCGGGTAGAGAGATAAGCTCAAGCCCAGAGCAGGCCCGCTCTGATACCATATTAGAACCGGGGAAAGAGGGTGCCGGCCCACAAAGTGAAGCACACCATAAGAGGGTGATCCTAGGTGCAGCTTAGTGAGGCTCCATCACAAAGCCAATTGGTGATGGGAGGAGTAACCCACTAGGCTTATAAACTATACTCATTTACCCTATATGATCAATGTGGGAGATAACTCACAGGTGATATTCCAACACATATACCAATTACTAATAAATTAGAAGCCTCTACGCTGATTTTGAAAATATGATGGAAATTATTAAAAAAATAAAATTCCAAAACGATAGGCATTAATTTCACAAATAAAATGTACAAACCGGCGGCTAAATAGCCAATGTCACCCCAAACAAAACGACTGAGACCTCCAATACATAAAGAAGGCCTAAACTCACTACAACAAACTACTAAAAACCAGGAAACTAACCAACACTAACAGTTAAAGGCAGGCATGCTGGGACTTTTAACTGAACAAGCAACTCTCACACAAGAACAACACAACAGAATCAAGACATCAAACATGAGCTTAACAGCAAAAGAGAAAAACTAAAAAGAACAAATAGAATATTACAAATACAAAAAAGAATAATGACAAAACTGAACCAAATGACCTAGTGAACATTATCTCCCTGAGAGCTACTCCATCTTCTGTCTGCTTGATTTGAATTACATCCAGTCACCTTGGGCTGCTTTCAGAATTGTTTGATCAGGGAGCCAAACTGCTTGAAATTTCCAAAGGGTACAAGCCTTCCACAACCACCATAGGATGTGGGTTGTTAGCTCAATCCTTGATTCAAAGATTTCAGTCTTGTCCACAGAGCAAACATGGTTCCACGAATGTTAAATGATATGCTGTTAATATTTGTTGACCAATGGACTGGTGCCAGCATCCAAATTCTCAAGGATCTTTCACATTGAAATAACACATCCTCAATGGACTCCAAAGCCTCACCACAGCTAGAGCATCTGGGATCAACATCCATACCCCTTTTATCAGATTAAGACTAGTTGGGAGTGTGTGATTGCAGCACTTCCAGATGAAGTGCCTAAGCTTATGCTTAACCTTCAAATTCCAGCTTCTGCATCTGAGTGCTTTATCTCTTGATGCAGACTAACTTCCCTCAACAACATCCAATTCCATAACTTTGTTCATAACCAGATGAGAATATAAGCAAGAGACAGAAAATTTACCTTTAGGGTCCAATAGCCATTTCCAATTGTCATGCAGAAGGGGGTCCAAATAAGTCATTTCTAGAATTTCCACAACATCTGTTTGATGAAAACATTCCTCAATCAAGGTTCTGTTCCAGGTTTTGCCATCATCAAGAACTAAATCAGCCCCCCAAGTCACTCTCTTCATACCAATATCATTCTTTAAAGGCAGAACATCAACATTACCATAA